AGTGCCCTCCCACCTTCCAGTCCTATATCTGACAATGTTTCTCTGCTATGCATAGAGTTTTCAGTGACTAGCGATTCAGAAGTAGTTTGTCACTCTTTCTTCCTAGTCTGTCTTTGTTTTGTAGCTCATCTGAAAGAAACCTTTCCACCATGGGTGACCCTGCTGGCTATTTAAAACACCGGTGGCATAGCCCTCAGAATTACAGCAACTCAAACCACCACAGCACGACAGACAGACGAGTGGTGGCATGGAATACATAGACTATCAAATATTACAAAACAACACACAAACAGTAGAAGACAAAATAGATGACTGGGACATATTAAAAATTAGAAATTTATGTGCATCAAAAGATTTCATCAAAAGAGTAAAAAGGGAGCCTACAGACTAGGCAAAACATTTTGTAACGATATATTAGATAAGGGACTAATCTCTAAAATCTACAGGAAACTACAAGAAAATGACAACCCAATTAAAAAATGGGCACAGAACATGAACAGATACTTCACTAAGGAAGACATTCAGGCAGTCAACAAACACATAAAAAAATGTTCATGATCATTAGCCATTGTTGTTGTTAAGTGCCACTGAGGCAGTTCTGACCCGTAGCGACCCTGTATTGGGTTTCTGAGGAGCAACTGGTAATCTTGAATCGCTGACCTTGCAGTTCAAATGGATTTGCAGTATGTCACATTAATGCACAGCACCAAGAAAGATGCAAACAACAATGAGCTATCATCTCATATCAGTAATAACAGCGAAGTTCAAGAAAGCAGATGACAATAAATGGTAGTGAGGGTGTGGAGAGACCAGGATACTCCTACATTGCTGGTGGGACTGTAAAATGGTTCAACCACTCTGGAAAACGGTATGGCGCTTCCTTAGAAAGTTGGAAATAGAAATACCTTATTATCTAGCAATTTTATTTGGTATATATCTTCAAGAAATATGAGCCAGGACACGAGCAGATATATGCACACCACTGTTCATCACAGCACTATTCACAATAGCGAAAAGATAGAAACAGCCTAACTGCCCATCAATGGAAGAACGGATAAACAAACTTTGGTACATAAACACCATTGAATACTATGCTACATTGAAGAATAATGAAGCTGAAAAACACCTCATAACATGGATGAACCTTGAGGACATTACGCTGAGTGAAATTAGTCAGTCACAAAAGGACAACTATTGCATATGACCATTACTATAAAGCTTAAGAAAATGTTTCCATACTAAAAGAAAAATTCTTTGATGGTTACCAGGGGTGAGAGGGAGGGGTCAGTAATTCATGGGTTACGGGATGGACATATGATAGCTCGGGTAATGGGGAGGGCAATACACAAGAAGAGGGTAGATGAACAAGGAAGATAGGTGAAGACTTAGGGAGGTATGCATTGAGACAGTCTGAATGGGAAAAGGAAGGGAAATAATGCGAAAGAACTTGTTTTGTGGATATTGGCTTCCCCTACCTACTATTTTTTAAAAAAAGATAGAAAGTAATATTGGGAAATATGATTACAGAAAGCTTGTAAACCCGCTTTCAACCTGTAATTGATTAGATTAGCTAAAAGGTGTACTAGAATTTGCCCAGGGAAACAGGCTTCTTGCAGAGCCTTTGTGGAATATGGGCCCCACATGAAAGGACATGAAGACCAATCCAGAGGGGCCAGAGCAACAGAAGATATTTCCTGAAAGAAAAATTGTTGTTGTTGTTAAGTGCCGTCGAGTCGGTTCCGACCCATAGCGACCCTGTACAGGGTTTCCGAGGGTGTAAATCTTTACGGGAGTAGAAAGCCTTATCTTTCTCCCGCGGAGCGGCTGGTAGTTTCGAACCACTGACCTTAAGGTTCACAGCCTGATTCATAACCACTACGCTACTAGAGCTCCTTGAGGAAAAAAAAAAAAAAGCAGAGTGTTTGCCTGCTACAAGATCAAGCAAGTTGTTTGTTGTTTGCCTTGGAGCCACCAAGGTAAGAAAAGTCAGCCCATCACGGTAAACCCCCTTCTAAGACTGAAATCAAAGGGAACACACGAGCAGGCTTGTAAACTCACTGGTGACCACCCTGGTCTACTTGTGAGTGGAAGTGGGGGCAATGCAGCAATGAAGACATGGGCTGAATCTGGCCACGTTCCATAGATACCCATTGGCCTAAAGATGAAATAGAGAAGAGGAAGGGCTCGCTGGTCACAAGTTTAAGGAGACATATGAACTCCTAAGCCCTTGGGCACTGACCTAGCTAGCCCCTGGGGACTGGAACTTAAAGTGAAGTGGCCAGCTGGTCTAAAGTGAGGTGAGAACTCCCAAATTTGCAGATAGTACTCATTTGACCTAGCTTGGATGGCTTGCTGACCAGAACTTGACCAGGTTAAGATAAAGAAGTTTGATACAGGCAGCAAGCATAAATTGCTACAATGTGATGAACTGGACCTTTGTTTATGGATACAGTTGCTCAAAATTGCAACCCAAAGGGAAGGAATCTTTACATCAAGGATCAAGCGTGCCTCCTCAGCACACAGGGCTAATAAGGACGGGCAACTTAGACAAGTGGCTATCAGAAATGGTGGTGGTGGGGGGGCTATAAAGGCAGCAAGTGGCTGGCTACAAGCTTTCATGAGTGCACTTAGTTTCAGAACGTGGGGGGTAAATTAGAATCCCCATTGATTAGTTTTCCTCTTGTCCAGATGAGCCTGGTGGAAGGGGATGGGGAGACTGGGGATGGGATGTTATGATTCAATAGTGAGGAACTGTTATCATGAGTCATTGTGATGGTCACAACTGTTAAATGTAGAAGATGTGAAACTAAAAGGGGAGGGCAGCTTATCTTTCATTTTAGGAACAGAGGACCCTAGGACCAGCAAGAGGGAGGAGCTTGAATGGAGCGTGGGGTCCTAGCCATAAAAATTGCAACACCAAAAATGGAGATAGAGTATAGAGGATGCTAGGCCCACGGACTTAGAAGACTGTGTGCCTGCAGGCAGGAGGCTGGCTTGGAAAGCTGCCCTTTGGACATTTAAATAAATATATATTTTCTGTGTGGTATGTGTACACCAAAAATAAGGAATATTATTGCATGGAGGGGATTGTAATCATTGCAATGAAACAAAGTATGATTTGTTGAATGTAAAATTAATGATCTGCCCTATAAACTTTCATTCAGTTTACAAAAAAAGTAATTAGCACACTGAACAAAATATTTCCCTAAGCACCTTGAATGTTCGGACCTATTATAAGCTGCTATTGCTGTTGTTAAGTACCACTGAGTCAGTTCCGATTCATAGCGAACCTGTATAGGGCTTCTGAGAAGAACTTGGTAGGTTTGAACTGTCAACCCTGTGGTTAGCAGTCTAGTGCTTATCCTACAGCACCACGCATAAATGAATTAATTTTGCAGACTTTCTACAAGCTATGGTTCCTAGTGGGTTAGTGCCCTGGACTGCAAAGTCAGTTTGAACCAGCCGCTCCTCAGCAACCCTATACAGGGTCTCTATGGGTCGGAACGGACTCGACGGCACTTAATAACACCAACAAAGGATCTTTATATCTACCTTGTGCACCTTCCTAGTACAAATAATTGGATATAAAATCTTAACACATCTTCCGTAATTAACTAATTCATGAAGAGTATTCCTATTTTAACTGAGGTGCTCTAAGTCAGAAGGACCCACAAGAATCACCTATATCAGTGCGTAGTTACCTGTAGCTAACCTGGCATGCATTTGCATTTTGAATACCACACTCGTGTCACTTACTGGTGAATTTACACTTGGAACAAAGTCCATTTCTTCGCCTTCCATCAAATATGTTCTCCAGTCAAAATCATCTTTCTTTCCTAAAATGTAAAAGAACATCAGCTTCATCATAAATTTCTCTGTAATAACCCAAAGCTATAAAAAAACAACACAAAACTAACTAAATTGAAATTAAACTTAACTAGAAAAGTTCAAAAACACTGAAAACACTAAAATTGCTGTTCTAATACATTTTACATTTAAATTTTTATATCTTTAAAATTTTCTTCTTTTGATCTAATTACATGTAGTTTAACTTACATAATCAAAACTTTTATTTTAAATGCAATTCTGCTTCTCTGAAAAGCATTACTGCATCCAAAGTGACAGACATATTTTAGTTTCATTAAAGTTTCACAACTTGGTATAGAAATTGTCTTGTAATTAATAAAATCAATTTCCCCTTCATTTTTTATGTTAAGGCATTTGTTAACATACCGACTTCCTTCTCTCTTGGTGTTTCCACGTAATTGTGGTTTGAAGGAGACTCAGAGAGACACAGAAGGAACGACAGGATGGAATAGTGAGCATCTGTCTTAGAAACAAAAATAATGAGCATGAATTCCTGATTTCTCCATTGCTAACAAGTAAAAGACATCTGAATGGATAAGACATCTGTCTTCCTGAGAAAACAGAAATCTCATTGGAGGATAACATTAATACTTAAAAACTGATTCTCTTCATGTGGCAGGCCGAGATGGTGTTTAGATTGTGAAAACATTCAATTGCCTCTTGATGCCATTGGTTCACACTTTTGAAGGCCCCTGTATGTACTGTCAAGTCTAAAGATGGGCACATATATTGGCTATCATCTTTACGGACGCGGATTGCCAAGCTTTCTTCTGTGACGCTGCTGCGTCGGTTTGAACCACCAACCTTTAGATTAGCAGGGGAGTACAAACTATTTGCACTACCCAGAGAACAGATTAAAAATGAGGCACATTTCATTTGTCAGAGAAAGAATTCAAATGTAGTTTGAGTCATACTGAGTTTAAGGACTAGCAAAATATTTAGTTGGCAATGTCTTACCAGTTGAATTGTAGATTTAGAGAGGAGCAAAAAATGTGTTATATAAAAGACTTAGACTTAAAAAGCATTCATGCATTGATGATATTTGAAACCAGGAATTGTGCAGAAGAAACAAAAGAAAATAATGTAAGTTATTCAACAGGAATAGTGAGATGAACCATCAAGACTTGAGAAGCAAGGTTATGTTTATTCATCTGTGCCATACAAGAACAAATCAAAATCACTGTTACAAAATCCCAGAAGTCTTTATTAAACAAAAAATAGCAAAATATTAACTTACTGTTTCTTACTATATGCCCCAGCTAACTCTATACACTTCTGAAGGTAGTGTTTCCATCTCGCTTGTCCTTCACTGAAGAATTAATTTTGCACTCTTCGAGTTACACATTAAAACGGCAGTTTGGGCAGCCTTGAAGGACTCAGATCATGTTCCTTTTCAAAGTTCTTTGAGTTATGGAATAAAAAGCAGCCTGAAGGGGCATGATCAGAGGTATAAGGTGAACAGGGTCAGGTTCTCCACTAACATTCTCGTTGCACAGCTCTTGCTACTCTTGAAGAAAGGGCAGGTGTGTTGTCATTAGGGAAAAATTTTTTTTGGCTTAAAATTTCTGGTCTTCCTACCCAGAGAGGCAGTGACGCCAGAGATGGAGGCAGAGATAATGACATGGAGAGATGGAACAGCTGGGAACTTTAGACCGGAAGATGGAGAGGGGCTGTGTGCTGACGACCGAGGGGCAGGCTTGCATGGTATATACCCTTTGGTTGGTTGATGATCCATGGAGGGTATTGTAACCATGGCAATGAAACAATATATGATAGGATGAATGTAAAACTAATATTCTCCCATGTAAACTATCACATAATTCACAATAAAACATTTAAAAAAAATTCCTAGTCTTTTTTTCAACAATGCAGTTTTTAATTTTCTTATAAGTGAAGAATGGGTATTCTAGAACACTTAATTCTGCTCCTGAGAAACCTGTACATAGACCAAGAAGCAGTTATTCAAACAGAACAAGAGGATATGGAATGGTTTCAAATCAGCAAAGGTGTGTGCCACGGTTGTACCCTTTCACTAGACTTATTCAACCTACATGTTGAACAAATCGTCTGAGAAGCTGAGTGATATGAAGAATGTAGCATCAGGATTGGAGGTAGACTCAACAACAACAACAACAATTATTCATGTGATACACACATGAAAAACCTTGCTTGCTAGAAGCAAACAAGACTTAAAATACTTGCAGATGAAAATCAAAGACTACAGCTTTCAGTATGGAATGTATCTCAGTGTAAAGAAAACAAAAATCCTCACCAATGGACCAATAAATAACTTCATGATACATGGAGAAAAGATAGAAGCTAAAAGAGTTCATTTTGCTGGACCCACAATCAACACTTATGGAAGCAGCAGTCCAAAAATAAAACAACATATTATATTAGGCTAATATGAAGTGAGGGGAGATGCACAAGAACACCCAAACTTGTAGATAGTACCCATTTGACGTAGCCTTGATGGCTTGATAGTCAGAACTCAACTAGTGGAAGATAAAATTTTGATAAAGGAAACAAATGTAAATTGCTACAATGAGATGAACTTGACCTGTACTTATACATGTAGTAGCTCAAAATACCAACTGAGAGGGAAGGAATCTTCACATCAAGTATCAATCCTATCTCCTGTATACAGGGTAGATAGGGATGGGCAACTTAGACATTGGCTACCTAAACTGGGGGCGGGGAGACTATAAAGGCATGAAGTGGCTG